GTAGTGAGCTAAGAATACAGGAGGTCACGCTAGAGATAACAGATAAATACAAATATCTGGGCGTATGGATAAGCAATGGGACCGAGTACCTAAGGGAACACAAAATATACGTGACGACTAAAGGTAACAGGAATGCAGCAGTGATGAAAAATAGGGCACTGTGGAATTACGATAGGTATGATGTTGTAAGAGGAATATGGAAAGGGGTCGTGGTTCCTGGGCTGACGTTCGGCAATGCGGTCTTGTGCATGAGATCAGAAGTTCAAGCAAGACTGGAAATTAAGCAATGTGGAATAGGTTGGCTTGCTTTAGGAGCTCATGGGAATACACCAAATCAGGGAGTACAAGGTGATATGGGATGGACATCATTTGAGGGCAGGGAAGCTAGCAGCAAGATAAAATTTGAGAAGCGATTGAGAGAAATGGGGGAGGAGCGTCGGGCTATGAAGGTTTTCGGCTACTTGTACATGAAAAATGTCGATACAAAATGGAGGAAGCGAACCAGGAAATTGACTGGTAACTACTTAGAAAACAGCAGGTGGCCAAACCAAAAAGAACTATCGGTTAAGAAGAAAGTGAAGGAAACGGAGACTGAGATGTGGAGAATTGGCATGATTAAGAAGTCCGCACTAGAGATCTATCGAACTTTTAAGCAGGAAATTGCCGAAGAAAGGATCTATGATTATACTAGGGGTAGTTCTCTGCTGTTTGAGGCCAGGACGGGAGTATTGCGAACCAAGACATATCGGGCCAAATACGAAGGGGTAGACACAGTCTGCAGTGCGTGTGGAGAGGAAGAAGAAACTGCCGAACACTTGATAATGTTCTGTAAAGGGCTTCACCCTATAGTTCAGGATGATGGCGCAGAGCCAGGGAGAGGGCGGCAGGGTGATGGCTGCTGACACTCTGCGGCTGCGTTTTCTTGGAGCGTGCTGGCTTGGATTATGCCTGCGGCTGCTGTGTTGGCACTGAAGATGAAGCCGAGGATGCATTCGGCAAGTTTCACACGCCGCGCGTGCATCCAAGACTTCCCGCACGCCGGATGCACAAAAAATGTTGTTTCTCTCTCTCTCTCTCCAACTTGCACGGCAGCTGCGCCGGTTTGGCGGCCGCAGCCTATGGCAGCGCGGGAGCGTGTCAAGGGTAGCTACAGGTGGGCGTCGTCGCAAGTTTCTGCCTCGCCGCTCTGATGGCCCTCGTATTTTTTGAATATTGCCGTTGCCAGTGGCATCAAAAATATTTGATAGACTGTTTCTGGCGTGAAATAACTCATGATTGAATAAAGTGGTGCTTGTAGTGTGCTATTTCTGCAATGCAATGCTGGTTTCCGAACCAACGACGAAATGTAGAGCCGGGATGGAAGTCCATTTCGCAGGTAAACAAACAGACGTACCGGCGGTCTCGGTGAACCGGCCCGCTTCGTTCCCACCTTTGCTTTTTACATCGAAGCCGTCGATTAAGCCAGTTGCACGGGTGAAAGCGTCATAAAAGTGTGCGAGTCTTATTTGCAAATTTGTTTCAGCGCGCGAACAAAAGAAAAAGGACAGGGTAGACAGAAGAGCGCTCAGCGCTCGTTCTTCTACCCTGTCCTTTTTTCGTTGTTCGCACGCTGAAACAATCTCGCAAATATGACTACGCACTAACTAGCCCAAGCTTCCACTCTTGGAAGTGTGCGATTTTTTATCGTGTTGGTAAAAAGAAGCGCTGGACAACGAGCTCATGTTGGAAAGAGAGCGGCGCTACCGAGAACGTCGGCCTTGCTAGGCCTACGCTTGGAGTCGATAATGAATGTGGGCTGTGTCGATGTTTGTCGCTTTCGAAGGCGCAGCTTTGTTGGCGATATTATTAGACAACAAGGCATGACTGCGTGATCTTCTTTATTTTGCGCTTAATCAAGGGGATACGATGTCGTCCAAGCGTGCAAGCTGAGGGGCCGTATGTGGGCGGAGCCCGAGTGCTGACGGCTGTTCACCCCATGTGTCATACGTGGCGTCGCGCGCCGCATCGGCTGCCAAATCGCGCTATGTGTCTCCCGCGGCGTGAATTTCGCGCTGGTTGCCGTCGGGCCACGCTGACGGACGCTGGTCGCGCCTAGCGTCGGACTATTCACCTTTTCATAAACGCCTCCCTGGGCGCCGCCATAGCCCTCCTTGGGCTGTGCAAATTGGCGCGTCCCCTCGAAAATGCGCTGGCAACGCTGCGCCCTTAGCCTTTGTACTCGCGCGCACAGGCCATCATGGCGTTTTTTTTTCCCTTCCTGTGAAAAGATGTATAGAGTGCTCGCGTTTTGCTAACGTAGCGTCACTGTGCCCAGCGTGCGCGCGCGTCAATGCTACCTGTGATGCTACGTTGGAGTATATTGAGCCTGTGCTTGCGGCCGTTTCGCTAGCTCCACAAAGTAGGTTTATGGGACGTCCCATTGCATGTTTACGTTCAAATGTTAGCGCATTTGTGCCAGCATAGCAAAATGGACTTTTCTTGTTCTTCAGTCATAGGTAGAGGTCACGCACATCGCTTGAAATTATTTGAATTCGCGTGAAACTTCATTATGCCTATATTTTTTTTTTATTTTGAGCACCTAAAACATTTTTGCTTTTGGCAACTAAAACACTTTTTTAGTGCCTATAAATCCAGCCTCTGATGATTACTTCACACGTGCTGAGCACTGCGCTTGCGAGCGGGCTCAGCGTGCCCGTCGTTTGTTCGCACTCCGCGCATTGACTCCCCTCCCCCGCGAAATAGACCATCTCTCTGAAAGGAACCCTGATGGGATGCAAAGCAGCTGCCATGCGCACCCGGTTGAAACAGGCGTCGACTCCGGTGCTGAAAGAACGGTTTAAAGCAGAACTCGGCAGAGCGTTCGAGTAAACGTTTGTTTGAAACACAAATAGAGGAGAGGTGGGTAGGGTTTCGTTCAAGTTTAATCGCAGATACAGGAGCCGAAGGAGTTTTCACTCGGCGTGCGGTCGAGCGTTGCGGGCGGTGGAGAGGGTGAAGCAAGAGGTGTACTGTGAGTGGACGGAGGAGCCGGCAGCTGCTGCGGGTAAGGGAGAGTTGATGTCAACTAGCAACTGCGACTTGACCTATTTTGCACCACTCCAACACCTGCGGCGAGGGGAACGCGTAGCAGCGCATTTGTACGGTCGTACGTACGGCGTTACACACGTGAGAGATGCTTGGCATCTAAAAGAACACGGCCGCATTCCTTCCGCCTCAACGCCATAGCCTTTGGCTAGCCATGTCACTCTAGCACGGTGACTCCTACTCACCATACTAAGGTTAACAGTGTAGTCTTTAAATAAGCGAGCATTTAGACAAGCGGCCTCATCTCCTTTAAGGTTGCCTTGAAGAAGTGCATTGCTCTTCGAGTTTGGATTGATCCCTGACCCCTTTGTACCAGCTGTTTTCTTTACAGCTGCCTAAAAATAAGCATTGCTCTTCGTGTTTGGATTGATCCCCGACCCCTTTGTACTAGCTGTTGACAAAGTACCAGTTCATTTTTAGAATATTTTCTGAATCTTTAGAAAAGGGGAAGCAAGTGCTGAGCTCAAAACACTTGAAATGAGAATGTCACTCGGTTCTTACGCTTCGAACAATTATCGAGTACGGTGGAGCTTCATCCACGAGAGAGTTGTGGGGATCTTTTCAGGTACTATCTGCACAGGCAATTTCAAAAAGTATGTTCTGACTAGCAACCATCAAGTTAGCTTTGGCATCTTTAATTGATAGACTCCTGGTTTAATGAAGTTCTCCTTTTTTTTTTTCCAACGGCCTTATGACACTCGTCATATTCCATTTGCTATGCTTACCTTGTCCTGAACGCATCCTCGTCAGAAACTCTTCACTTGTGCACATCACGCAGGTCTTGTGCAGGGCAGTGAAGCAAGAATGTGACAGTATTTCGTGCTAAGAACTTGATTAATGCCGCCTCTCTGGAAAACCTTGAACACTAATAGGAATATTTACCTGACACTTAGACATGTATTGCACTAAATGATCCTAAGTTTCGCTATCTGTTTCAAAGTACACTTCCTTTAGTTCCAAATCCACCTCAAGCTTCTTTTTCCTGCTCCGAAAATTGCTCTGAATCGTAAACTGCCTGAATCAAAACTGGCATTGGTGCAGTGGACTGTTACGCAACCTGTAGGTGCTGCACGTTTCCCGTACTTCCTGTGTATTTTAAGGCTTCTTAACGACTCATTTTCTCAGTAAGAACGACATGTAAAGAGTTCGAGTTTATTTAATTTCACTTCTTGGTGTCTCCACTTGACGTTGAATTACAATTTTTTGTAATAGTGTAGCAATGCAGGTAATTTTTGTTATTTTTTTAAAATAAAACTGTCAGAAAAATGAAAACTATTATACATATGTAAACCATTCTAGATCAGAAGCTTTGTATAGTTAGAAATCTGCCTTTTACTTGCAAAATATTGAGTTAAAGAAGAAAACCAAGTTTATTTCCCGTTTTGTTAGAAATAAAGATGTGCTGAACCAGTTTAATGAATAGCAATACGCCACATAGTCAGCCCACAAATCAGTGTGTCACAGTTCTTGATTTCTTACTTTCCTGGCTGACTTTGCCATATCCCTGCGTCTTCCTGACCAAACAGCGTCAACGACAGTCGATCTCAACAAACCATTTCATAGCGTTCACCTTGATGATATGTCAAACGACACTGAGAAAATTACTTAGGCCATGCAGGCTGTTTTGAAAGTTGGAATGGTTACTGAGGTGGCAAAGCTTGCATTTCAAGGAACACGGTCCATTGTGCTCTGCATGAATGCCATGGTTTCCCGGCAGTCTGTCCAAGGACAGTTGCTCGTAATCACAGTTTGTAGGAGTTCCACAGAAATCAAAGCATAGCCATTATCACTACAGGTAATGTTTTTCCCTTGCAGCGGTGCTGAGTGAGGACGAAGTTTACTTGCTGAAGTACTCACACGAGTGCTCCCGATCTCGCTCATGTTATTAGCTGAAGCGTGCCAATTTCCAATTACACTGCAGTTTTTAAACAATTTATTTGGTTTCTCAATACGAGAATATCTGTAATCATCGCAACAAAATGAACAAAAGTGCAACTGAATACAAAATAAATGCACACAATCCCGTAACCACGTGGGTCTCACGTGCTCAAGGAAAGTGGACTCTGCAAATGTCACTCATGTTAAAAAAATAACTGCACCATGTGCTTTGGAGTAGCCCAAATGCTTTTTATGAACCTGCTAAGATAAAAGAAGCTACGAGTTTCGATTTTTCAAAAGTTTACTACAGGCAGGAAGCTTAGGTTGTGCACCATCTGAGAAAAAAAGGCTTAGTTGCTCGTCAGTTGGTCTACAAAACCTGGTCTTTATGGCTCAATTAAACAACATGATAATGTGTGAGACACTTTATATTGTTAAGGAAGGCCGTACCTTCCCAAACAAGAAAGCTATAAAATTTAGAATTTAAAAAATTTTACCCAACTCCGGAGTCCTTAAACTGGCCGCATTGAATGCCAGCTAAACAAGAAAAAGGATTCTCATCTAAGAATTTATTTAATAGTTCATTAGAAACTTTATGAGACTGTTTTCTTTCAGGCAACCTAACAGAAAAGAACATCATTCTGCAAGTTTCTAAACACCACATTAATTAAATTTTATACATCACTGTGATGTAAAACTTATTCATGAGAGAGACTTTTCACAAAATCATTGCCAATCCAACAGTTTTAAATGAAATAAGACACTTATTTATCCTGTTTAAACACAAGTGCAGAAAAAAAGAACCCCGTCAAAGGTTTTTATTGGAATGTCACACGCAGGCTTACGGACAGCCCACAAATCAAACACAAAATGCTCAAATAAAAAATGCACAAAAAACTTCAAGCCACTTTGTTTCAATATAATTGAAAATTACAGTTTGGCTTCCTTTGACCTTCATATTATAAAACGATAAAGCGAGGTTTTTACTTGTAAGCTATATGGGTAAATTGCACCCTTGTGACATTAATGCTGAAAATGAACAGGATGTGTATTTCCGTTTTTTTTTTTTCTGAAGCATTGTCAATTGCAATTTGACAAAAGTTTTCCCTTTGCCTGCAAGGACACTTTGCCGTCTGTCTTAAAGGGGTTCTCAACCCCTGATTTAGAACTTCACAGTCATACAAAAGAAAGTGAAAGTGCCTGCTTGATGACTGCTTCTTATTTTTGATGCTTGTACATAGTGTTGACAAAAATCACAGAGCATAAGAAGTCTTCCCGCATTTTAAGACATGTAAAGGTCTAACATTAGCAGGCAGGGTCATTTCAATACAGCAATTTACTGGAATACAGCCCTTTGATGTGTCATATTTCACACACAATGCTTTTGTTCCAAAACGTTGAGTATGGCCACGAAAGTCAAAGAACTTTTTTTACAATATTGTCATTGTCTATTGTATGTTAGAAATGCAGTATCCTAGAAAAAATGACTAAAATAAAATGGGCTAAATGAGAGCAAAGAACTGTGCAGACAGGGAGATTTTCAGCCACAGTAAAACTCAAGTCTTACAACCACCTTGCTTGTTTAGCTCTACAGAAATTTTGCACATTAGTACAATGCTCAAATACTGTTCTCGTAAAACACTGCTAACAAGGCACTCACGCAAGCATTGAATAAAGTTTGTCGCATTTACTAACATATATACTTCAGTGCAAAATTACGATATAGTAGTCTTATTTCTCTTCTTTTTCAATGTCCTTTCAGACTCTCCCCATGGCAAAGCTTCCATGATGCTACAACAATAAAGATGCCAACTGTACATTCTACATTCTTGAGCTTGCATGTGCAAGTCGAGTATTCACCTCAGCCTAAAGTATCTTGGAATCAGTCATAACAGTCCGATAACACACAGGATTCCAATGACAATGCACCACATCAAGACCATTAAGGACGCTCATAATCTTGGATGTCATGGTCGGGTGCAACCTTAGAAAACAGCACCATTTCACTTCAAAGGCACATAAACTTTCACCAATAAGGTCTAGACTTATGCCACTATTCTGTTATACCATTGACGAATATATCATCTAGAGCAAGGCAATTTTTTATAAAGGCACACTAACAGCAAATATCAGTTTATGTAAAAGTAAAAGACCAATGTTTCTGGCCGTCTAAAACGTCAACATTATCAACAGCAATGCTCTACTAATCAAGAAGTTAATGTAAATGTATGACACCATATGCGCCATATTTTGGTGTGACCTCGATGACATCAAGAGTCCCGAGTACAATTAACCACAGAGTTTTTTATAAACAGACTACAGGGAACGCTATAGGAGCAGGAATGCACGCCAGCTGAGAACGATGGGTAGCACACAAATTTGTATAACTTTTGTACTTTTACCTCAGTTTGGCTTAATGTGGCCTAGAGCTGCTTTGTCACAAAAGGACAATTGGCAAATGTTAAGCAGTTACACTTTGCCACCTTCACCTTTTGGACTCACCTATTCAAATAGGGGCACAAAGTTCACAACGGTCCAGTCTTCTACTCAAAATGAAACCAAAACACACCAAGAAACAAAGCCACAAGTGTGTTCGAAGCCTGCAAGTAGGAAGACTAGGCAAATTTGCGTGCTACCCATCATACTCATGGCGGCTGAACTGCCAGTGTCCCCTTAGTTAATTTTAGGAAACTTTACAGTTGCTATAAAAAGAAAACCTTCTGTGCATTAGACTACATAATAAACGCCCCTTGTCCTTTTCTGTCTGATTCATGTAAAAAAGAACCACTTGACGTTACTACCGGGAACAGGGTGAGCAGTTCCCCTTACGATGAACCGCGCATCTCAGTGGTAGTATCGGTATGCACACTTCCTAAAGTCACAGTGACGAAACGTCAGAAAAAATGCTGCGTGCATGTGATGCTATCAGAGGTGCACAGCGCTTGAGCTGCAGCGAGAAAACTAACGTTACTTTTCACTGGGTGCTGCAAAACGAATGCTTGAAGTGGCTCAGTGCCGTGCCTCTGCGCCAGCATCGCGAGCAAAAGTCTTGTGGTCAAGTTCACTAACGACATCCATTGCAGCAAGCCTGGATGGCCGTTGCTTCTGTGGCTTCTGCTCTGCTGCTACTAGTGCAGGTGGCCACACAGTAAAGGCGGCCAACTTTGGGCAAGGCAATGGGTACACCTGAAGGCCCGTTCAGGAGGGTAATCTGAATTGTGCTAGTGCTATGCAGACCATTAAAAGGTGATTCCATTACAAAATAAGCATTTCATTCAAACGAGGAATTTTGGACTACAATTTTGACAATCATCATCACCTTAACATTTGCCTTTAGTGCCCCTTCAAGTTACACTGCCATGCTTTGGTCATCTCGACCTATCCTGCCTTCGCAGATTAGAGTGAAAATTTTCTTTTTATGGTTATTTTTCCACAAAAGGTACAGTGTCGCAATGACACATTCAGTCCGCTTACATAAAAGACAACCAGGAATGACAAACACAATGGGCTAAGGCACCTACAGATGCCACACCTGATGGACAACTCCTAGCGAGAGCTGTTTTTTTTTTTTTTTTCCTTTCGTCTGTTCACCCATTTCAGGCATCTGTCTACTTAGCACCCGGAGCGAGATTCAAAGATACTTGATACTGAAACCTTTGTGCTGAACTGGGTTCAGCACAAACATTGCATGTGACAGACTGAGCCAACCGTCCTTTATGGCTACCATATCAGCAGCGATTGCAACAGCAACAGCAGCAGCAGCAGCAGGGGCACCTCAGGTAGCATACCATGTGCACTGTTACACCAGTAGTAGAACTCACAGAAGCAGTACTCCACAGACGAGTAGTAGTCCCTGCAAGGATAGACATACGCATGCTCTTCGTCAATCTTATTTTTTATTTATCATTATCATTTGTTCAGCCCTCATGGGGCATTACATGAGGGTAGGAGAAAGGCAACAAGTGGTAAATGTGAGACTCGATAGTACACATACAGCAAAAATGGGTAGACATATGGTAGACACTTGTGGGTACTGCATGTTTCTCATGCCTCCCTAAGATTCACTGTCTGTGAGAGCAGCAGTGTTTTGTGTGTGTGAGAAGCATAAATCATTTTCTAAACACACGTACGAATTTTGTTCTGATACAGTTAACCATTTTTGCTCATGTAAATCAGATTAAATAGTCTTGCAGAAATGACAGATTTTTGACAGTAGAGATTTGTCTGTAGAGAATGCAATCATCTGCAAATGACTAACTGATGATGAAATTTCAGCAAGAAGGTGATGGCCAGAGATTGGAAACAGAAGCCGGCCACTAAGTGAGCCCTGGGCAACTTCAGAAATGATGTGAATAGCTGGAGAAGGATGGCCTCCGACAACTGTGTACTGCAAGAAATCATTTAAAAAGCAGTGACAAAATGTCAGCACATCAAGTGAAAAGCAGGAACGCTATGTGGTGAAACACTGGTACTGAAAGTGGTGCATGAAAGACTTGAAGGTATTCACTGTTCTTTCAATTTCAATCTTGGCAGATGGTACACAGCTGGCCGGGGAAACACAAGCAGCAACAGCAAAGAAGACGGTTCATACAGGTTCTGCAGGATCTATGGCTTCCAAGGACGCCCTAAAGAATACTAGAAAATTCTTTCTTCGAGTACGCTTAAAGAAAGAAGTAGCTTGTATCCAGTCTCTGTAACTCTTAACATGCACAGAAGTTAACAATGTGGGAAAATATGCTGAAATATTATGGTTTATTTGGATGGCTGCCCTGGTCCTCTGACTCAGTCACCAGATACTAAAGCAGTTTGCAATTAGAGCTCAAGAGGTGGAGTACCAACTGTCAAGTTTGAAGCAATAAAAGTGCAGTTATTTGTGCATTTTATTTAACTGGAAGTTTGTTTTATTCGAAGTTTTTCACAGTTCCCCTGAACTTCGCATTAACGGGAGTCGACCGTAGTTCCTTCACAAGTGGCCTGCTAACCTGTTTGTAGCAGTGCGCAAACTGCACACGACTGTCTTCATTCCATATTGTTTCTCTGTAAATGTGTCAACTACATAGACGCGACTTGTCTCAGGCTTTGTTTCCATGTTGCACTCCATGCAGGCACCTTATAGTGGAACACAACCGAGAAACAGGAACTCCTTATTTCAGAATCGGCATTGAGACGACAGTCACTCTAAATATCTGTATCAATATCTTTCTAGAAATATGACACACAATTCCCTTGAGAAATAACCCATATATGAGAAGGGTGCCTTTGTTCAGGAGGGCATCGTTAGCTGACCTTTTGTTCAACTAAATTTCGTGACTGTGACCCGTTAGCTGAGATGACTGTGAGAGCCCTGGTCTAGAGGCACCACACACCTCATATTATTGAGCATACAGATTAAACTTGTGCAGTATGAGCTGCTGCTTGGCAAATATCCACTGTATCTGTAAAGTCTGTAGTAAAAAGAACGATAAAAAGCACTGCATGGAGCCAACCACAAAGAGCATTAGCAATACAGTCAGCAGCATTTCTCAAAATGTCTTACTTGTAGTATCCAGCTAGCACAAAGCATTCTTGTTTTTTTAGTCATCACTGGGTGCAGATGTTCTTTGAGCTAAAGAGTACACTTGAAGATATCAAGCTCTACATTTTTTATCATTCACTCGACAAATCATTAAAAAAAAGCAGTCGAACACCCCGGGGTATTCTAGTATTTTAGCAGAGGACAGAAGAACGAGATGAAAATGGCGCTATATCTCCTTGTCTCATTACCAAATGTGCTAAAGTATTAAAATGAATTACCAACACCCACAAGTCTACGAGCTGAAGGTTTTGTCATGAGGTAAACCAAGAACGGTGGAGAACAAGGTGAGAAGAGAGTGATTGTCAATTACATCCCTCCCCTCACGGTGAAGTTTCCAGTAGTATGATCGAGACATTTCCTAGCATATAGTCTTTAAAGAGACCTTGAAACAGTTTATTGAGTAACCATGAAATCAATTCACTGGCAAAGCATATTACCTCAAAAAATCAACGCTGCAAAAATGATAAGAATCTGTCCAGTATGAGCGGAGTTACAAAGATTTGTCACATGCTGCAATCGCATTCTCTCCTCTCTCGTCCTGACGAAAGTGCTGGAAGCTAAGCAGGCAGGAATGGGAGGGGCAAACAATAAACGTCACGCGAGTCTCCTGACCTTGAGCACTTTTTCGAGTGATTTTTGGGTTTATTCTGTGATTTATCGAGAGACGAGAAAACAATTTTTAGCTGACTGATAATTTATTGTGAATTCAAGGCCGCGTGCTGCGCTATATTATTTGGCTCACGTGTTGTCGGCAGCCTCTACTACAGATCGGCAACGTTCTCTGACCATGCTCAAAAGGTGTTGCAGGGCCCCTTTAAGGTGGTGGTTCTACTCCCTCCTTCTCGCAATAGTTCGAAAGAAGACACCAGACGACACAACTCATCCATGCTTGCAAAAAGCGAGAAAATTGCTCGTGCATACTTGCACGAGTGGGTGTCTAGCATACTTGCACGAGCGGGTGTCTCGTATGTCGCGCGAGGCAGCGAAAATCATTTGATGAAAACCAAAGAGCACAAACGCAGACGACGTCTTTCACCTACAACCCGCCCACTGCGGCCGTCGTTCCAACGACACAGCGAAAGGTGCCGCAGTGACAGCTGGCAGATTGGAACCGGCGTCGTTACATTAAAGTGTAAACACACGTGCGTAAACACACACATATATAAACACACACTCTTTCTGTCTCTCTGACTCACTCACGTCCATGAAATAACGATTGAACCATCAACCAAACGCTTTGAAGTGTCTGAGTGCACTGGCATCGCCGCTAACCTTTTTTTGATGTAGTGACCTTGGCACTGGCTTGATGTATCGTTGCGTGAGCACGTCCTTTGTTTGTTTTTCTTGTTTTTTTTTTCTTGCCCTGTGAAATTGCTCAACCTCAGCCAATGTAGCTTACTCTTCAAAACAGCCAGGCATATTTCAGCACAAGATAGCCCGAGGATCCTGATGTTATTTGCTAAATTTCACCCTTTCCAACTACAATAAAAAGGTTACATAAATGAAGTGCCTCTTGTTAATGATTTGTTGAACAGATTATTTACACTAATATAGAGGAGTTAGAAGCTCCTCAAGCCCATGGTTTTTCTAAACTTTTTATGAGAATTACGTGGTCCCCCTAGTACATGGGATGACGTGACATAATCCATAAGTTGGTTCACGCTGTTTCCCATCTTCCTTTCACCATCTTTGTGCTATTGCCTAAATCATGGTAAAGTAAGCACCCACGAAGTGTTTGCTTGAGAAAATTCTTCATTTTTGCCAAGAACAGATTGCTAAATGTGAGGCAATCTCACGAACACACAGATTATCGATTACCAGCACAATCGAGATCAGCATCACACTTAGTGGGAGGGCAGGAGAAAGGAGGGTTATGCATATTCAAAAATCATAAGGGATTATGACGGCACCCACATAAAAGCCACACCTCTGAGCCCATGCTCACGTGTTCTACGAATGTCTTTTCTTATACTCCGTTTCCTACATTAAGTGCAACGCTCTCAAGGTTAAGGAGAATTCTTGAAATGAATGCGTTCACACTAGAAAATAGTACGATTATTTTTGCTTCTGAGACATGATTTATTTTCTTCTTTCTGCTTTGTGTGTCGGAGATAAAAACGCTCCGTTGTACGACTTGTCTTGGCTCTTATTTCTTGATGTTTTACTTGTAGCCTTTAGCGACGCTCTGCAGGCACGTTTGTGCTCGTCTCGCACGAGCGTTTACATCGATGAAAGCTAAGTGCGAGACGCGCGAAGTCACACATGTTTCTTGCCGACCTTCTTGCATAGCTTTCACAGCGTTGCACCTGATGTATGAAACGGTAGGTACATCTGTCAGCATAGGCGTGCACACGAGGGGGACACGACGGGCGCACCCCCCCCCCCCCCCTTGTCCCCTAATAGTCAGTGCGCGGAGTCTGTCCCGTGCTGTGTGCCTAGAATGTGCACCCATACACTGCATTGATAGGAAGGGGGGCGCTGTGATTAACCATTGACCGCCCTTCGAAGGGGAACTCTTCTCACGTGTATGTCTGCCAGACGACACCAGCGATGCTAAGATTATCAATGAGAGTTACGTAGCACTCTGGGGTCACTCAAGGGTGCTTATAAAGTAAGATATAGGGTCTAAACATGCAGTGGCTGCATAAGCTATACTTATTTGCTAATTTTTCTCATTGTATAGATTATCGAGTTAGTGTAGCATAAATTGTGCACGTATTTAAACTTCTACATGCTATCCAAGATTTATTCCTTTTCTGCTAGATCAGTTGCCATTCAAAGGAAAAAAGAAAATACACCTCTATCGGTGATTTTCGAATGTACTCGATAAAAAAAAGCTGATGTGTTACAATTATGCAAGTGTAATTATTACACATGTGTTAACATGTGTAATAATTACACATGTGTTACAGATGTGTATACACGTGTTAACAAGAATACAGTGTACTAAAAATCACGTGTTGCATGCAATATTTTTGTTTTTCTACTTTTTTCAGTGACATATGGTTTTATTGTAAAAGAGTCGTTGCAGAGTAGTGTGCCTGCGAAAATGGCATGACGTCTCAAGATGGGGCCGATCGGTAAATATAGGAAGCGCTTTTGAAAAAAGGTTCCATACGAAATGATCGTTTAATTTTTCTTTTTTTTTCTAGCAAGCACAAGCATGCTGGCATTTCTAAAGAAATCGAAACGCATAACTTTTCTGGGAGTGAAACAGTTACAGAATCCAGTTTTGTTTTATGCTTCTGCTATGTCAGCAGGAATACACCTATTTGTTCAGAAAGGTTGTGGGTTTTCTTCATATTGACTTACAGGCACCGTCAACAAGTTTGCCATTTAGGTTGCCGCAACAGTTTTTCAAAAAAAAAACAAAAAAACGACGTATTCTACGTACCTTAATAATCGACGTTATGGGAAGCATGCATAGGGAAGGTTACCATGTTGCAATTTTTATATCGCAACACGTCATGAAATTACGCTAAATATATCTTGCATGCACAGACACTTGTCGCAGATGTTTGCATAATCAGTTTTTTGCACTTGCACGATGATGTCAACAGGGAACATGAGTATTAGCAACACCAGAAGCGATATGAAGCGCTGGTGCTCCCGAAGATGGTACCCCCCCTCCCCCTGAACGCTCTTACATAAATCGACTTTAGTGCATGGCACCTAACTATAATTGAAGTTAACTCAACATCACGACTGCATCGTAGGAGTACATATGTAATCATGATATAATTGAATAGTCAGCACGGCAACCACAATTAACGTTTCATGAACATTAGGGTCTATTTTAAAAGTAGTTCTGAGACCTGGCGAGGCTTTGTGGTAGAATGCTTGATTGCCATGTATAATGCTTGGGTTCGATTCCTGCTGAAACCTTGGCATTTATTCTTTGCATTCATCAGATCAGCGTTGACGATGTCATGTTTTTCTTAATGCTCACATGTTAAAATTGTTCCTATGTGTTCTTGTCGTTGCTGGGTAGATTCTAAGTGTCAATCACCTGTGGCACATACCCGCATGCCAGTGGCACATACCCGCCCGCAGGTTTGTGCCACTCTCCAGTGGAAGGTGTTTGACAGCTTAGGCGACGACGACGGAATCATGAAAGTATTCATGTCTTGACTATCCCATCATATTTGTGAAATTATCTTATTCTCCTATACTAATTTTGGTTCACGCAATCATGAGAACACGTAAGCGGCTAGATGAATAGATAGATTAATCGATATATACCTATATTTATAAATAGATAGAAAGATAGATAGAAAGATAGATAGATAGATAGATAGATAGATAGATAGATAGATAGATAGATAGATAGATAGATAGATAGATAGATAGATAGATAGATAGATAGATAGATAGATAGATAGATAGATAGATAGATGCCAAAAGTGCTTGCAGTTCGCAAAGAAATGCTTTGCATTGAAAATGTTCGTCAATGCTCCAGTATATGTATCAGCACTATTTTTTTCATGTGGCCATTCTCATGGGCATCGAAGTCAGGTTATTCTTCGTTGACCATACAGGCTTACTCTGCTATTCTCGGCAATTACAAGATTTGAGAAGATCCACCGAAAATGCTGATGTAGAAGTGCGATTTGTGTGACAATATTTGTGCGAATCAGTGTGCCAGTTTCTTGAAGTGGTAGAGGGACAAAAGGATGTACAGAGTGGACAGTGAGCACCGAACCACTGGTATGAATGCCAAAGTATTGACCAATACTCAGCTCAGAGCTGACGGTTCTCTATTGTACTTTGTGGTACTTTTGTATTTTGTCGAGTATGCGAAATCTGAACAGTCTTCATATGCAAGGCAAGAAAGAAAAAATATTGTGCCCCTTTGAAGCAGCACTACATACATATCATTCGCATGGCATGTCAGCCTCTTTCCTTTCACAATTTCAAACCTCACAGGCATGAAAAAACACAAAATAACGCGCAAAACGCGAGCAGCTGAACCCCGAAGAGATGGACATTACTAAAGACGCGGCGGTGAACGCTGGTTCTTTGAATGCGTGACGAACACACAATTTTCCGGCGTACCAAAACCATTTGCCACTTGATGACACCACCCCACCTGCTGAAGTGGTGCGAGTGAAAAGGATTCATTTTCAGCCTTCACCTTTTATGGCTGCTGTCTGTTACGCGTGGGGACTAGACTTGCCCAGTGAGGCAAACTATGAAGCCTGGAGATATAATCCAAACCTGTTGTACCAGTTACACTATGTTTAATTGTGCCACATTCTGCGATTGTTTGAACTCACATTAAAACAACTTGATTTTTCATTAAATAGATGGAGCTACCACCAAAAAACCCCTGTGAGACTTATGATTCATTGAAAATATTTAGTTTGAAGCACGGAGTGGCCAAGTTATTGAGCACAAATAGATACAAGACACAATATACATCTACTAATGTGCAATACTTGTAGGTAGTTAGCGTCTGAAAGAAGAAAAAAAAAAAAAACGAGTTTCTACGGAACTGGCCAGCAGAAAAATTAGCTATATTCAATGCTGTCTTGTATGTTCCCCAATAAAGATAAAAGAATTTTCTTCGTAGAATCACAGAAAGGGGCCTGCTGCTTCATTATATAGAAGTTCAGAGTATCAGATAGTAGAGTTTTGTCGCTTCATCGGTAAGGTGTGATTAAGTATAGCCATAAACTGCCCCATTGACACAATAATAATTTATCAAGTTTTCGTCAGAGCATTATTCGACTTCGTATGAAAAATGAGCCTAATGTAGTCTACATAGCCACTAATTATTATGGTTCTGTTTTGTGAAGAAAAAAATATATTCCTACACAAACCTCCATAATTTCAGCAATTTTCATTAGAATGTGAATAAATTACTAATGAGTTTAAGTCCAATATCTCTTCATAGAAACCTTGAATAGCACTTCGTCTAAAGGCACAGTGAATTCCGCTTTTTTACGTTGAATAGTTTCGCCCTACTCGCAGTACAACAAAAGCTTATACAGCGAAAGTACTACTGTTGCTCACACTAATTTTCATTGCTACTAAGAAACGCTTCTGACCAGGCAATAAAATCAGGATGTCATTGAAAAGAGAGGATAGTAAGCTTTCTGAAGTAGCCCAATTCAGCTTTGTGAAACGTAGCAAGCCCAGTGGATCCGCAAACAATGCGTAAAAGGTGGAGTGGTTGCGGCCGGAGTGGGACCACCACCTTAAAGGGAGCCTGTCAGATAAATCCATACTTACCATGAAAGGCAAGTCCCTCGGTAAATATTTGACAGACAGCATTTGTGCACAAAATTCATGGGTATTCAAGAAAATACCATGAACATGTATAGTACAATTACAAAACTTTTCATGTGTTTCAAGAATCTGTGCTTAGGTTGAGCAAGTGTTTTTCTTCTATCTATTTAAAGAAGAAAAAAACTTACCGCTTCAGCTCGAGTTCCTTAATGTTATTGTCAACGTAGACGGCCAGCTTGGGGCTCTCAGCTGCAGGCCGGCAGCCCTCGTAAGTGTCTGCAGGGATGTCGTGCCGGTATGCTTCCAGATTGGACAGGCAGTCTCGTGTATACAGTACTTCCGCTGCAACGAAGGTTGTTCACTGAGACTCATACTTATGGCAAGTTAGTGCATCTTGGGCCAACATAATCTAGCCATGTACATTTTGGACGACTAACAATGGTTCATATTTGAATAAATAGCCATGTTGGTATTTAAGAGCACAAAACAGACAATCGCCAACATGGATCAGTATAAACTCGCCCAAACATCTGTACTTATAATAAACGCAGGTTCGCAAGGAGAAGGTTTTCCACCTAGGTACACCTGCCCACATGGTGTTTGCTGACGTAATGGGTATTTTAATGTGCAACCAAAACTTTTGTTTGCCACAGAGCACAGCTACCAAATATTCAGTGATAAATAAGTGTGGCATTGTGGATGCGAAGCGATGGCCACAGCTACGCAACATAGCGTATTGTGTGTGAATTGCACAAAATAACTGGAATGCTGGCTCAGCCGCTGTCAAGAGGCACCAAGAAAGGCTTTCTTTTTAAACTGAACACAAAATTATTTCAGAAACATTACTGCGATAGCGTTAAAGAGCTGGTTTTATAGAAATTCTGGCATCGGCGTGGGTGTCGGTTGTAAGCGAAAAATCATCCATCTCGTGCATGCCTGAAAAAAATAATAAAAAAATTTCCGGGTCCGAATGAGGATCGAACCAAGGCCACTTGCATGACAAGCAAGTGTTCTACTACACAGTTACGAGCTTGCTTGTTAATACAGTTAAATTAACTTCCTCCTGCTTATGACTGCAGTGAAAATACCACTCATGCTTTAGAAACGCATGAGCCTAGTATACAGGCTTCACAATGCAACATGCAATATTGCAGAAATATGGCATGGTACAAGTGTACATTGTCATTGGGTGCCAGAACATGTAATTATCATAACAACTTTATGGTTTAAAGCCAGCCACTAATTACAAAAGGCACACAAGTTACTACACATATTTTCCTACTCACCCGGCTTTTGCAACATCTATGTAACATGATGCACTGTTGGTGTCCAACTTCAGTTCGTATAGCCCTGACGAACTAAGCTTTCATATTTCTTTTCTGCGTTTAATATTGTTTGGGGTAATGTTGCCTATTTTAAAAGAGAGAATCACATTGGGCAACATCCTACAGTGTAGTGATGGGAGGAGCCGCTGGCCGACGAGAACATGGACGATCAGCTGAGTCAAGGTTCTCACTGACGGACCCAACTTGTTGAGTGGCAGCCGCCGCGGATCCCTTGCCTGAGCTCCCCCAACCGCGAAATCCACTGCAGTACTGCAAGTGTATTGAGTTTTCACCACCACCATTAAGAGCACATGAACAGACACGACCACATCGAGGCAATTAAGAGCCGTAATGATGTAATTGTGAGGTGACCTTTTTAACAACGAGGCCTATAGTTATGTCTGGGGCAAGCAAAGGATGGCCAGTCAGTTGACGACACCTGACCAAAAGGGAAGATAATTAAAAGTGGCTGAGCAGACAAAGTACTAAGCCGTTCGCCTATGCATGCACCTTTGTTGCCAAATCCCGTAGCCTTTTGTTCACCACACCTGTGCTGGTGAGCCCCCGCACATCCCAAGCGTTCTCACTGTGAGCCAGACTGAGAAACAAGTAATCCCTGCCGCAACACCGCTTCCGACAAGATAATATGGCGATGTAGTACTATCTAATACGGTAAGGTGTTAACAACCGGTACAAGCAGCGCACAATTTTTTTGCAAAGAAGCAAAATTATGACTCCTTGTGAGCAGGAATGTGATTATTGATGCATTACCCCCCTCATCCCCAAAAAGAAAAAAAAAGAAACAGAAAGTTACAGTTTCGTTGTAAGGGTGAAGCAACGAATGCGATAGACACAACTTGGAATGTAATGCTGAGAACGGCAAGCAGATCCAAACATGCAGTGCAATGCTCACGTACAAATGACGCACAAAAAGAACGCAGACAGTACGACAACGAACTAACGTTTACCGTTCCATTACCGCGCTGTTTAAACAAAAACGCACAAAACGTAATCCCACGTACAGATGAGTGCAAACTAACTACCGTATTTACTCGCATAATCCTCGCACTTTTTTTGGTGAAAACCGATGCAAAGTTGGGGGGTGCGAGAACTACGCAGGGAAAACTTTCCATGAGAACTTACAGAGCGAAAAAGAAAACAAAGTGGCCGTAAGTCAGGATTCTCACGCCAGCAACTAACAGCAAGCTTAGGAAGGTACTAATTAAAACTTACCTAAACAGTAAAAGCACAGGTTTAACACAAGGCAATATTTATTTGAGGCACAAAAAGTTCGAGAAGAAAATAGAAAGAAAATAGACGAGAATTAGAATACCATACGCAAAGCTTGTGGGCGTAGCGGTTGCGTACGTCGCTCAACAGGAGCCCTCAAGAAGTTAGCGTAGGACGTCAGTATTGGGCTGATGGCTATTTACCAGAATTGTCCGCAGTTTCCTTCTGAGGAAATAAAGTTTACCATCAATCCCAGTTTTAGGCACACGGCAGGTCCAACGCGTCTTGCTGGCTTTCAGCTGCTGTCGCCAGTAGTGAACACAAAAATCGTAGACTCCGAAGGGCCTACCAGCAGCCCTGTTGCCGTTGTTTAGTGCATGATCTGACACTTTCAACTTGAAAGCAGCCGTGTAGCTTCAGTATCGCCCCATAACGTGACAAGATTACCGACACAACATACAAAGCCCGCCACAACGCACACTTTCCACTTTGGCTTGGCTTGGATAGAATTGAATCTCCGTGCAATAATAGCACAATTGAAGTTTTTGCGCACACACACAAGGACACAGAAGAAGGGAACACAAGGACCAGCGCAGACTAACAACTGATTTTTATTCAGTAAGAAAACAGAATATATACGCTTACTTGCACCCCATGATCACCGCGCATGAGCAAAAACGGCATCGTACAATCTTAAAAACCAAATATCACATGTTGTTCAGCAATTCAATTTCTTTTTCACTCAAAAAAATTGTACTGAGTACAATTTTTTTGAGCAAAGTTGACAGACTGGTTGATTCTGATTTGGGTGGCAAGTCCTTAAAAATATTCAGATATGTTGATGATTATTTGATTTTGGGTGTAGACACAGACTGGGATGCTGTCACCACAAGTGTAATGGAGACTTTCAGACGGAGAGGCAAAGGCCTAGTTTTTACATCTGAACAACCCACCGAAAACTGTTTACAGTTCCTAGATATGAAGCTTGTTTTTGAAAAGAACCATGTGTGTTGGAAGTATTCGCCTAGAACAGAGAAGCCCCTGTTGCAGTACGCTTCCTCCCATTCAAGGATAGTAAAAAACGGTATAGCAATGGGGTGTTTCAATTCAGCTCTTACAAAAACATGTAAGCACAAGTTAAAAGAATCTTTCCTGGAACAGAAGGTAAAGCTGGAAAAGGCAGGATACCCTAACTCGTTTCTTCTAACTGCAAGCGAAAGATTAATGAAGAAAATGAAATCCGGGGAGAAAGAGGAAAGAAGCCAAGATACAAAGAAAATTTCGGTAATCCCCTACGAGCATGGTTTCTCCCATAAACTTAAGAAGGTGGCAGCTAAATATGGTGTCAAAGTTGTATTCTCGGCAAAGAACAAACTAGGGGCGTGTGTCCGGCTGTAAATAATCTGTACGAGGTAAGGACGAGGGATATCGGAGGCAATTGTTCCAAGCGTGCAGGTCATCAGGTGGTTGAGTGCAAAAGAAAGGTAGTTTATAAGACCCCTTTCAGTTGTGGGAACTTTTATGTCGGTCAGACTGGCCGATGCTTAAATGTGAGATTGAAGGAGCACATGACCAACTTGAAAGGGAGGCCGGAAACACATTTAGCACTGCACTGTGCGCGTTGTTCTTTTAGTGCATGTAAGCCGTTGTTTGATCAAACTGAGGTGGTGTATGTACACCCAAATCAGACAACAAGAGAAATAGTAGAAGCGTGGCACATCTCTAGACTTAAAGATATGTGCGTCAGCCATCCGTCGATATCGCTTAGTGAAAAAGAAATTGAATTGCTGAACAACATGTGATATTTGGTTTTTAAGATTGTACGATGCCGTTTTTGCTCATGCGCGGTGATCATGGGGTGCAAGTAAGCGTATATATTCTGTTTTCTTACTGAATAAAAATCAGTTGTTAGTCTGCGCTGGTCCTTGTGTTCCCTTCTTCTGTGTCCTTGTGTGTGTGCGCAAAAACTTCAATTATGCAGCAGTACCAACTAGCCCGTCTTTCCGTATTATTGCAATAATAGCACGCTTAATGCTTAAGAGATGGCGCCAGATGGCGCACGCAATCATCATCAGTGGCTGGAACGAGCCGACGACATTATTGCGGCAGTTTCAGATGGTGCGATAATTACTCGAAGAAAAAAAGAAATCGTATTTTTGTTGGGCGATGTTGACGGGTGCGAGAATTATGCGAGGTCGTGGATTATGCAAGTAAATATGGCAGTGTCCCAGTTGTTACTTCACTGTGTAAAGCGGACTCTTTTCGCAAACGGTGCCTGTGCAGCGAAAATGCCTGTGCCGGTGCCTGTGAAATGCCGGTGCCTGTGCAGGCCCATGTGGGCCCAGCAACTAATCAATCGTGCCAGTGAAAGTTCAAGGCACACAATTTTCCCCATCGAAAGATAAGAGCCCGTCGCACAGAGGCATGACAGAGAGTGACAAGGTGGGCCACATACTCAAGGGCATCGCAGACAACGCCCTCAACTTGCTTGTGTACACTAATGTCACGACCGTAGATATAATTATTAAGGAATGCCGCCACTTCGAAACGGCCAAAGCCGCTGTGTTCTGCCTCAATTTACGTGGCTACCAAACACGGCTGTTACATCAACCTGCACCGATCTCGGTGCCGCACCACCCATGCAGGACAGCATGACATGTATAGTTTGACGGAAGCTTGAGGCGTCAAGTCCGGCACAATTTCCTCCACATTCCGCTCGACAATGCCGCACAAACGCCTCCAGCGGTCTCCGTTATTCAAGCCGTCATGAGGCAGGAAATCGCAAAG